TTTTCAGCCCAATTTGGTGGTGGTTTCATCCCCGATCAGCTCTGGTTCAATGTTTTTAGCTCAATTTAGTTCCAATTCAATGGTTTACGACTCAGTTTGGTGTTGGTTTAGTAGTTTTTATCCCAATTGAATTTTGACGCAATTTTTTCAACCTAATTTAATATTGGTTCAGTGGTTTTTGACATAGTTTGGTGTTGGTTTAGCGGTTTAAATCTTGATTTAATGTTTTCAACATGGTCTAATGTCAACTCGTTGGGTTTCGACCCAATTTGGTGTTGGTTGACTATTTTTCATCCCAGTTCAATTTCAGTTGAATATTTTCAACCTAGTTTGGTGCCAATACTGGAGTTTTTATTCCGGTTGAGTATTAGTTTTGTGGTTTTCAACACCGGTTCAACCTCTTTTTGGTTAATTCAACTCCAGTTTTGCTTGATTTACACTATTTTTGATTGTTGTGATTCAATTTGTTATTGTCCGAGGTTTTTTGTGGTGTTGGTGTTGTTGTGTTTCTCCTCTATCGTCATTATGTTCTTATTCTCTATGTTGTCATGATTATCATTTGCTATTGCTTGTTTTGGTGTGCTCGTTAATTGTTTCTCTAGAAAATCAAAGGTGCCTTAGACTTTACTTGGAGTAACCACCTGAATTTGTTGCTCAGGGAGAGTATTTGTTAATTAAAGAAGTCCATAAATGGTTGGTTTTATCATCCTTGTTGACAAGATGGGGACATTGCAATCAACTCATGACTTTCTCACCAAACCATTGATACCGTACAACTTTAGTAGGCTTTATTCTAAACTTGACATTTTTTATCTCTATGCTCTAACTTGAGGGAGAGTGTTGGAGTGTTACTTTTTTATTGTTCTACTTGCCTATTATGTTACTTTCCTATTATGTCATTTTCTTGTTATGCTCTACTTTCTAAATCTTGTGATTGTTTTTCAATATTAATCTAATATAAATAGGTGATAGGGTGTAGGCAATATACATCCTACACAATATTGTTGCATACTCATTTTCTTCCTCTTTTTCTTTGTTTCTTTGTTTCAACTCATTTTCTTCCTCTTTTTTTTTTGTTTCTTTTCCTTAACCCTAATATAGGATTAGGATTAGATTATTCGATTTTCAGCTATAGTATACGCATCAATCGGCATCGTGTGATTGTATTTGAACCATAAAAAATGGAAGTGTTATGTGAGTATACCACATGGTATAAAGTGGAATTTGCCCTAATGAATAAAATAGATGTCACTGAAATGCAAGTTTTTAAGAATTGGACTTCTACTTGTAGCACTACTCTTCTAGGGCACTGTCACAGACCTTTTGATAAAAATTCACCTACTGTTTTGCTTCAGCATCTTCTTTGCCATTTAATCAATTCTGCTACTATTTGACTATTGAGTTTGGTAAAGTTCACAATGTTGAACCACCATAAACATAGGATAGGAGTACCTTTGATCTGTATACTTGAAGTAGGCATCAAGCCGCCTGTCCTGTGTCAGCCCAAAAATTGACGAATCCACATGGGAAACCTCTTCATTTCAGCAGTAACCGACCGCATAGTTTGGACAAAATTTATTGAGGTGAGTTTGAGTCAAGTCTTCAAATAACAGATGTAGAGTGGTCTGGAACTCCTGGTATCCAGAAAATGTAATCCGGGTAGTTTTGGACCAATAACAATAGGATTTTTGCAGTCAAACCTTTCAGATAGGATAGCGTTTTTATTTATTGGCAGGGTAATTAAAAATAACAGAACACCTCTCCACAGGCAATAGGGAAAATGGAGGGAAGAAGAATATCATCTGAACACTCAAATGATCCAAGGTCCCAAACTAATTAGTGAATGCACTGTGATGCACAAAACTGAGTGAGTAATTGGAGCTTGTAGCCCCAAACGTCTCATAATTGTAATGAATAAATAAAAATTACCTTAAGACCAGCAAAATATATACTGATTCCAAACCAAAAAAACCCCATGAATTATAAGTGCGCGGTCATGTAATTGAAGTAAAATTGATCACAGTTCAAGCTAATCTCGACACTCATCAAGGTTTGGGCAAAGGAAATATGGTATCCTGCTCAATAACAACCACTCTAAAAGTTTAAATGCAAAACAGAGCAGTTGGCAAAGATAGAAGAACACTTGTGATGACCTTACTAGAAGGGAACGAATTACATGCTAGACACTGAATTCCATGTTCCAATTGAAACCAACTAATCATTTTGATATTCCTGACTCAGAGATCATCCTCATCCCTAGCAGCAACTCCCAGAAGTCTAGCCAGTCTCCCGCTTTCATAAGCTTCAACAGTATCTGTAATCAGTATTTTGTGAGTTGTAGAGGTGATGTTCTCGTAGAATTTAATGCAAATGGAGAAAGGAAATAAAGTTAGACTGAGGATCACTAGGTTACCATCAGAACCTCCAAGATGCTTGCCATTTACAAACACCTGAGGCACAGTACGCCTCCCAAAAATCTCACTAAGTCCATCCTGAATATTCCCGCCATCATCTGAGGACATAAAGGGGGAAATTGCAACTCTTGTGAAAGAACGCTTTTGGCAGAAGTGTCCACAATTACTAAGATAATGGAACTTTGTTGAATTAACAAAACTTCTAAGCGATATTCATTTCCTCCTTTTTCAAGACCAAGAGGAACGAAAAAACTATAAATTTCTTTTAAAAATGCATTGAAACAGTACAGTTGAGCAATAGGAGTGCCATGGACAACAGGATAGCAAGTCTATACAATTTCCTCCATTCACCTTTTCAAAATAACTGCATTACCTCATCTGTTATTGCATCAACATGTTTCTGAAGTCCCTTTGAAGTTTTGCACAATCAATTCTAACCACCAAAGAAGCAAAGGAAAAAAAAGAAAATAGATGATGAAAACAAACCTCTCTCATCAAGCTCAACAATGTGTGGCACTTGCTTCAATTCTTTGAAGACAGCTTTTGCCCTTTTACAATATCTGCATATCACCACCAAAAACAACCAATGATTTCTATTAAATATTATCACTATCAACTACATATAGCATTGGGACACCTAAATATATATTTTTACGGTCCAAAGACATCATATACCAGTCTAACTCTAACACCTATGTTCACAGTGTAGCAGACATACCTTACACATTGTATAAATTGACAACGGACTGGTTAAAAGTGATCATTCAATCAGGGCTTTTTTTTTTCTTAGAAAAAGAGAAAAAGTAAAGGCATTTCCCAATCTGGTTCTCATAAGTGGAGTGCTAGCAGGGGGGATTGGGAGGGGTGAACTGGATACAAGCCTAACCTATGAGTTGCTATCTTGGATGCAAATCCATGACCTTGCAATTCCTAGCTCAAACATTTTATCACTGCATGAGGTAATAATTTAATTCTATTGGACCCTAAATTGCTATGTTGATCTGCAGGGGGAAAACTCATACCACCAGAGGTGGTGTTGAATTGTGCACCTCACTCAAATACGGGCATCAAGAATGTTAGATGTGTCACCTGGTAGAGCTCGAATATCTATCAGTTTGAGAACTGCAAAACAGAGAAGGGGTCAAAGGTACCCCAGCGCGGTGCCCAGAGAGGCCCTTGGACGCTAAAGTCAGACTATATAGGAATTGATCTCAAGGAAAGTGTATAATCATTGTAAAAGATCATAGTAATAGAATTTTGTAGTAGTATAGGTGACAACTAGGAACGGAAGGCTTTCATATGACTTCCTGATGAAGTACTTTGGTCTAATTTGTGGCATTTTGTCATGACTTACAAATGAAGAGTGACCTTATTTCTTCAAGGAAAGGCACTCAAGTGAAAGCTGACAATAAGATGAAAATCAATTTGTTGTGTGAAGGTTGCAATCGCAAAGGTCAAATTGCATTGGTTTGATAGAATTCTTGATGTGTATGCAAAGACATCTAATTTTTTATTTAAAGAAATGTTTTGTACTTAATATGGGGGATCCCCTTTGTTTGTCTTGCCTTTGCTTCTCACGTATTTGCCCCTTGGAGAAAGGTAAGGGTGAACCACTCTTTTTTTTTTCTTTAGTCTTGTCTAGTCTTGCGGATTTATCCATTTGTCAAATTATGCCTTTAGTTCTTTAGCAACACTCAAAAGGAGGTAAAAGCTTATTCAACTCATCATTTACTTCTTCGCTCAGATACGACGATAAAAACGTAAGGAAGGTCCCAGGGACCTTATCAACCTTCGTACCATGGAATGAGTACACCTAGGAATAGAGGTTTTTGGGCCTTCTACAAACACCGGAGGTAGTCTAGTCCTTCCTTAGAAACTAAAAGCATTGAAGGATTCAGTCCTGATACTTCGTTAAGGTCAATGTATTCGTATCGGATACTGTATTGAATACGATACTTATCGAATACTCAAGGATACGTATTGGATACACACTAAACATATCCAATAATAAATAAAATATATGAATACTTCTATATGCGGAAAAATATGTGTAATTTTTAGTTTTAATTTTACTCATTCCTTTTGATGTCACATATAATGCAATATATCAACAAAAATTCATATAACTTGGAAGACAAATAGATGTTTTCTAAGTATTATCCATTATCACATATCCAAAGAGTTTAAATGAGTTGATAACTCTATAATCTTAGCAAAAAATACTTCTAAGCAAATAATATGATTAAAAGTTGGTTCTTATTCCTTTAATTAATTGCATTCACTTTGTAGATATATCATAGCGAGACGATAGACAACTTTTTGAAAATAAATAATTGTTAATGTTGTTTATTATTATGAAAAAACTACTAAAAATTATAGCTATCAAGTCATTGCATAATAATAAAAATATAAAATATATATATTTATAGATGTAATCTGACTGTACTCGTATCCTATTTGTTGGGGTTTTGTCGTACTCGTATCATATCGTACCTGTATCTTGTACTCGTATCCGTGCTTCCTAGGTACTTCCTCAAAGGCCAAAACAACTTTGAACGACAACAAAAGATTGTACTTCTCAAGATTTGGATTTGATTGTACCATTTGAGACTCGGATATGACCATTCAATGAGTTTCCTCCCAAGATTCATCCATGGTTATCCTCTTCGAGACTCGGTTGTGCTCTCATCCTCCTCAGGACTTGGCTAAGATTATCTTCTCCTGGATTTGATTATTCTCGTTTTATTCAGTATTGGATTGCGCTCGTCCTTCTTATGACTGATTATGATGGTCCTCCTTAAAACTTGTTTATGATTGGCCTATCATTTTCCAGGCTTGATTGTGATGCATCAATGATCTTAAACCACCTATTCATTAGTGATCTACCGAGCAATACTATGCTTTTATTTTATTGCTTTTAATTGGCCCATTGTTATGGATATGAAAATTTGCAAGTTATATTTCTTATCTCACCTAGTGAATCTACTATATCACAAACTCTTTGAGCTCTTCGACTGTACCTCTGATTTATCAATATTCGAGCTTAATAATCAGTCTTGGAATTATGTCAAATAAGACATATATTTCAGGCTCCATGCTGGCACTCATCTTTTCTTATATTTTCTACCAGTCGTATTTTAGCAAAGGAAAAAAGGACAAGCTGGACAAGCTTTCGCCAACAATCAAGACAAAAAGTAAAAGGGTAGTCCACCCCTACTCATTCTCCAAGAGGTATATATGCATGAGAAACAAAGGCAAGACAAAGAAATGGCTTGGGCCACATGAAATCCAAATCATTGTTTTACATTCAAGGTAGAATGTCTTGACACACGCAACAACAATTCTCTATGTCAGACAAAGACAATTTAGCCTCTACAATTGTGACCATTGCACAGAAGGTGTTTGATCACCTAATTACTGCCTTTCACCTGATGTCTTTCCTCCATACAATCAAAATGTCGTATTTCATTTGAAACTCATGACAAGACAATGCCAATCAAACAAGAATACTTCACGAGACAGTCATTTATGCAGACCTTGTATAAGTGTGGGTAAGACCCCATAATTGAGGGACCTAAGTACAAGCTCCCAGCTCTCACCTATAATAATATTAGACAAATCCATTGATCTGCCTTTTGAGATTGATTTAAGCAATGATCATATTCAACATAGAAATCATCTTAAGCATAAGAGGACATCTCCCAACACCACGCTTGAACATCTATCACCTTTTTATTTGTTTTACAACTCACAAATAGGTATTGTTCGTGCTTTACTGGTGCCACATCCAATATGCTTGATACCCATGTTTGAATGGCATCACAATTCAATACCTTCTCCCACCATACAAGAATTTCCCCCGTATGATCCAATGTCAATATGTTGTATTTTAGGAAGCATAGATAGGGGTGGGCTATGACTCCGACAGAGCCGAAAGGCATGTATCCAACCTTTAACTCCGATTTTAATCAAAGTGAAGTTTTTCCTTTGACTCCAACTTCAATCAATTATAACTCCGCCACCGATTCCGCCTTGTCGGAGGTAGAACAGAGTTTCAGACTTGAGATTTTTTTATATTTTTTTTTAACAGAGAGAAAAATAAAACCAAAAAATCATATCTAAAAAACAGATCCAACTCCACAAGAAAATCAGATCTGAAAACCAGAAAATCAAACGCCAAATCTAAAAACCAGATTCAAATCCACACAAAAATCAAATCTAACTCCACACTATTGAGAAAGTTACTATAATATAATTAGGGTTTACATTTATTGTAATATGTATACCACACAAAGGGTATACTTGTCTTTTGTTTCTTTGTTCAATAACTATAAATACAAGATTAATAGTGAGAGGTAATCTCTCTTTGCCTCTCTCATATTGTGTTAAGCTTTTCTTTAAACTTAACATGGTATCAGAGCAATTAGGTCCAATCTTTTATTAATCTTTTTTCTTTCCTCTTTTATTTTCCTCGTCTTTTCTTTTCTTTCTCTCTGTTTCACGCCTTCACTGAGTTGAGTCCCTACTATCTTTGGATGGGTCTACACTGAAACTGTGCATTCCCAAAGGTGTGATTTCGGTTGAAATCGATGGTGATTTTCTGCTGAGTTGATCTTGATATTGGTGTTATTTATGGTGACGATGGTGGTTTGTTGAGTTGATTTCGTTGTTTGTCGTCATCGGCTAATTATTGTCACTGGTCGATGACATGAAATCGATGTTGATTACTGCTAGTGTGGTGGTGGTCTTCATCGGTTGTTGTCGTAGAAGTGCTATGGGTCGCCGTCGTGTGAGCAGACTTGTTGGAGGCTAGCGTTTGTTCGCAATCTTGAAGACAGTGAACAATAAGGGTCGGGTCGGGTCAGATCTTTGATGGTTGTGGACTCGGGTCAATTCTAAAAGCCTAAGTCTTGTGGCCCAAGTCCCTAGTCCGGCCCACGTCGTTTAGCCCAAGCTCCCCAATCCAATCCACGTCTTTTGGAAGTCCAGTCCCAGCCTAGCCTGTTCCAGTCCGGTTCAAGCCAGTTCACCACAATTCAGGCCCAGTTCGTCATGGCTCAGCACCGGTTCAAGCCAATCTTAGGCTAGTATAGGTCAATGTTACATAGTTCGCCCCTGTTCAAACATGTGTAAGCCTAATTCGTCACAGTTCATCACAATTTAGTACTATCCAGATCTAATTTTGACCGATTCGGGTCTGATTCAACACTATCTAGGCTCATACTGACTGGTTCGATTCCAGTTCAGCATCGTCCAGTCCTTATTCCACTGGTTCTGCTCTAGCTCACCACTCTCCAGCACTACTTTAGTTGGTTCAACTCAGGTTCGGCACTGCTTCATCTGGTTCAACTCTTTTTTTCGCACCGTTCTAGCCTGGTTTAGCCCTCCTATGGCTATGGAATCGAAGAATGATAACACATCTGTTGTTATTTCTCCTGTGCCACCTAGTTTGTCTTCTACAGTTCTATTTAATGGTTCTATGACGTCGGTCAAGCTTAATGAGACTAATTATGTTTTATAGTCACAATCAGTCCAAGTATTTCTGAAAGGTAAAAGCCTCAAGAAATATTTAGTGGACCTTAAACCCGCAGAAGGTACTCTTGGGTATGATTAATGGGATCAGGCATATGCTCAGATTATCTCCTTATTATTGAATAGTATTAAAGCTAGTGTTAGCTCCACTTTACCTTATCTTGACATGGCTAAAGAAATTTAGAATCAGTTGACCATTATGTATTCGAGCACAGATAAGTTTACTTGTGCATATGAGATGTGTCAACAACACTTTCGTTTAGACCAAGGCAATTTGAGCCTTGCAGATTATTATTTCCATGTCACGGGAGTTTGAGGAACTAAAACTCTACCATCCGTTTATCAATGATGCTGCAGTGCGGCAAAAGTAGCATGAAGATATGAATGTTGATTGTTTCCTAATGGGTTTAA